CAGTATGTACTGAAGTACCTGAGTAAGCTAATTAAAATTCAATAATACTGATTTTATCAACATCCTCGCTTTCAGAATGTTATAAATGTCTTATAATTAGTTCGTTTTAATTATATGTAAAACTCTTTAGGATAGTGATCTCTATTTACGATTTTAGAACTTTAGAGTGGCTTTTATACGATAGTTTCCTACTTGCTTAATGTAGAATACTATATTTTAAAAATAATATTTGAAGACGAAATAAAATGTATCTGAAAGATTGTTGAATTCAAATATGAACTGCAAACTTTAGTATGTATAAAGTCTACAAATTTACAAACAGCGAGGTAATAATCTTTTTAGTGATAATCTTAATAAATAATTAATAATTTATTGAAGTTTCATTGATAATGAAGAAAATGTTAATACACATTAATATATAACAAGAACAAAAAATTAAAGGACACAATAGAAAATAATAAATTATTAGTTCATATATGTTAGGCTGTATAAATCGTTTAATAAATAAATTCTATAACATATTAAACTTATAAAAAGCAATATATTTTTACACGACTATTATATCTGATACTATAGTTATCTTTGTCTGTATTTAATTATCAATTATTTACATTTAATTATCAATTTACTTCATCAAGATTGATACAAGCACGTTTTTTATACAATTATTTATTTTTATTCAACTACTCGGTCTACTCAATCGTATTGAAACTGGTGTAAGCACATCGTCCCTGTGCACGAATTTCGAACATTCTTCACTGAAGTATCCTGTTTGACGAGTGACATTATGGTACATCGCAGAACATTCCTTGCCACTTTGCTGAATGTATATACGCTGACATAAGGTAGGTTGCATTTGTAGTGCAAAATTAAATTCCATATAACTTGAGAGATATACTTTACGTGATATTTATGGATATAAATTCATTGTATTAATATCTAAATTAACCTTATAAACAGCTATTGCTATGTTTGCTGTGTGTATAAAAGTAAAATTTGCCAAGGTATGATTTTACACGCAAAAAAGAAGAGATTCTTTTCAACTTTCACTTGAGGGAAATAAAATTAAAAAATTTGTCAGGTATAGTTGAATTTGTCAAAATAAAAATGAACATCCGAGCAAGATGTTCCGTGTGTAAAAATATATGTAAAATGTGTGAAAAATTGATCAAGAACAGACTAATTAACACTCGATGTTTTAAAATCTTTACTATTACTCTCATTTGGATTTTTATGTATTTAAAAAAAAACTTAAAAATGAAAAGATTGCATGTAACACGAGAAAATGTATCCGAAGTATAGTGTTTTATATACCTAATTCGTAAAGAAAAGGTTCTATTTTTTATATTATATTTTCGAAAATGTAAATGTGCATAAAAATCCTTAGCTTGTTCAATACTTAAAAATACTTCTTAAAGACAAATTCATAGTTATTTGAATGTGTCGAATTTAAATATAAACCATCAAATTTTTTTCAATGTCTCAGTATTTGTAACTGATCTTACGAATTTGAGAAATACGATTAAAAATTTTCTTCGTGTATTTCTGCCGACTTTTAAACAAACAACAAGCTTCAGTAAAATGTTCGAATCTTTGAAGTTCGAATCTTAGCAAATGTTTGATCCGTACGTACTTGTATTCTGAACAAGAGTAGAACAAGCATGAATCGACTACACCTTTCGGTCAATTATGCACGTTCAACACTCGAAACCGCGTGTACAACATCTCGAAATCATGATTGCATTATCTACATAACTCCCTTGAATGCAGCCATCAATGTACAAGCACTGCGATGTCAGTTCACAATGCAATCGAGCCGAATGCGATTCCAAGCCGACCGAATACTACGTGTATCACATAGACGAAAAATTACGACAACTTGAAAAATAACATCTTTCGTTATCTAAAAGCGTTTCGGTTCGAATCATTTGATTTATTCACGTGAGCTTGTAAGAAGTGTTTCAATTGTAAGATTGTTATTTTAAATGTGTAAAATTCTATATATTCTACATATTTCTAATATATATATATAGAATTTCATATATTCATTATGAAATTGTGTTAATCAGATATGTATTGTATGTCGAAAAATTCTAATTTCTCTTTGTTTCAGATTGATTTTTGTCGACTGTTATCAATGAACAATAATTAACTATTAACCTATTCGATGTGAACAAATTGCATATGATAAATCGTGTATATGTCTATATATAATAAATATTCGTTATGTAAAAAAAGAAATCATCACTTAATATTTAAAATAATATTTTAAGATTACAATGAAACAAAGAAAAGAAAATAATACTGCAGTGTATAAATTGTCCAATTTTTCAAAATTTATTTCCAAATAAACTATTCAAAATGTATATTCAGTTGTTCAATAATTGTGTAATAATTTTTTAAATTTATTAATAATTATATATCATTTTTCCCAAGTATTTGATTATTCTTATTTTACCAAGAAAATTACGAATATTTAAATTTTGTGAACCGATAATTTGAAGAATATAATTATTGATGCTTCGCTTATATTACAAACAATATTAAGACTGAAAATAAGTTTAATTATTTTTTCATCATTTTGTATTACTTTGCAACATTGGTTTATATTACTAGGAATAATTTAAGATAAAAGATAAAAGTCAGCACAGCATGAAAATGAAGCTATTAGTATTCGGTATTTATCGAAAAAATACTTCTAAAGTAAATATCTATTTGCATTCAAAAATGAGAAGCTTTTTTAATAAATATTATATACAAACGACTAGATTTGAATAAATAAATTTGGACCAATATCTCTAATGCAATTTTTCGAAAAAAAAAAATATTTTTATGAAAATGTGGAACTTTGCAGAAAAGTCAAGGCCTCGAGATAACGCTCTCACTTTAAAATAACTACTCTTGGGTATACATTATTCCCCAGCTATCAAAAATGTAAACTTAATAGCCTTACACGTAGATATACATACATATTCGTGGAAAAAACTACATAGTTAAAGCTAGCTAAAAGACAAAAATTAAAAACAAATGTTTTTCTTAATTTTATTTCACATTTAAATCTAAATTGTTTGTACCTAATTAATACCTTCATATCAATTTCAATGTCACTGTCACTCGAACTGTTTAGAGTTCTATCAAGTTTTGCAAACTCACTCTGTTTCGAAGGAATCATGTTAGTGGAAGATTAACAAAATTATTTGTGACTAATCAAGACTTTAATACTTATTCTTTAATACATACTTTTCTGTTTATATTGCATTATGACTTTTATTTCATCAATATGGAAAACGAAATTATTTCTAAAATTTCTACTTCAAAAGAAGAATGAATACTATATGTGAATACGCTCTTAAATGTTACATTATTATTTACTATATGTAATAAATTTATACTATAACATCAGTGTACTCCCTCCTAACACGAAATCACCTTTATTTGTACTTACTATATTAAATTATACATAAAAATTAGATATCGAGTTAGGTCATCTATTATTCTATCTATTAAAAAAATTAAATTTATCTATTTAAAAAAGTTGCTTCGATCTACATATGAAAAATACTTTTCAGAATACCAATTAATTAATTCAAAATTGAAAAATATTTTATGTTTGAAGTGTGATTAACTTTTTAAGATTTACTGTGGCAATATTACGTAATTAGATTTAAAATGTTGAATCTCTTACTAAATACATTTAAAAATTTAATAATCCATTTATTATTATAGCTTTATAAACATTTGTGCAACAAATGTAACAGATTCTTTCTTTTAGACATTTTTCTAAACCTGTAGAAGAGTTCTAGAAGAGGTTAATCGCTGCAGAAATCTTTCCCTTTATCTCGTTTCCGATCACAACATCCATGCCTCTCAAATAATGAATGCATGTATGCAGAATGCAGAGCTGCTATAGTATAGTTTCACCCATGACCCGATTTTCGACAATTTTGTATCGATTTATTTGACCCTACTGTAACAAGACAGCAATTTCAACAGTTAGGAGAATTTAATACTCGATCCTCGGAAAAACTACAACGATTGTATGAATAAAATTTTCATGAAAGTCTCTTTATCCAAGTTGTAATCTCTGAAATCTAATATCTGTCTAATATATAGCCTCCAGCCGTTGAATTATGAGCATTCAGAATCCTTAATATCTTTGTTCCAAATTTTACTAACTGTTAAAGAAATTAGAATTAAAAATCCAAATTGGGTCGTTGAAAATGGGTCTATTATTTGCTTTGTACTATAAAAAAATTGAAAAGAACACGCGATGTTATTAATTTCATCATAACAACGTTACAGTATTAATTTTATCAAGACGTATACTAATCTAGTCTATCCATACGAGAAAGTTACAATTTATATTATCTAGAATGGCAAATTTCTGTTCTTCAGTGGATTTTTGTTTGAAATCATTGTCCAACTCTTTAAAAGAGACAAATACATTTATGGCGCGTGAACGCGTAATGTTAATTCAGTTTCATTCATTATAATGTATAAGTAAATACACGTTTCACGAATTCTGTGAACGATGCAAACACGTTTAAAATATATATCATATTTGTCTCTGCCCGTTGTAAAATGATTCTTGATGTTCAATTACTTCTACGAGTGCCAGACGAAGATTAATGAGTATGAGATAATAGTATGTGTTTCACATCTGTGGAATTTAATGTTTAATAAAATTTAAATCCCGTTTGATTTTATTAGAAACAAACACGACGTTGCAAACTACGTTGAATGATTTTAATTCAATTCAATTCAACCAACAACTATAGATATCACATTTTAGTTAATTAAAATTTAGGGAACTACGAGTATATGTACACGATTGAAAGTTTGGTACAGTGCATCTAATATTCCGTGACAACAATTCTAATTGAAAGTCTGAATACTACAAATGACGTACCGATCGATCGTTTCTCTCGCCGAACGCAATTATTATTTAACCAACAGCTTTCAGTGTGTTACAACCCGTTAATCATTCGTTAATCATGCAGGTGCAGAACTTCTATCGTCTGGCAGTCGATAATGAAAGTTTAAAGTCACGTTGAACCAGGATTGTAATTAACGAACGACCACAAACAAACACTGTTAGGATTTCCACTCGATGCTCTCTCATCAATCATTTTTACACAAACGAGGTACCTCGATGATACTGCAACAGAACGGATATGAGAACTTGTTGAAGTTCAAGGACGTGAGTATCGCTTTTTCTAGCACTACAAAACCTTTATTAGCGAGATCCTTTATCTAGACTTTAGTTTTACTTTCATAATTTTACTGCATCGTCATTCGTCATTTAGTTATTAATTACCGCGAATTCTCGTGTAAATTTATATTTTTTTTTTTTTAATACGAGTGAAAAAGTTAATTCAAATAATTGAATGTTATAACAAATATTACATAATACTTTAGGGATTTTGTACACGTTCTCTACATATTATGTACATACTCTGCATTTCTGCACTGAATGAATTTAAACTGAATTCTCGATTGGTACAATTAGAACTTTTAATTTTGATTTGATTTTCAAGTTTACACCTTTGTGTATTTAATGTTATTAAAAAGAATAAAGACTTGGTGGAAAATTGTTTCAGACGACGCAAACCTCTGCCTAGATTCTACTTTTTAAATTGCTTCAAAATTACTTTCAAATTGAAATTAATATTAGAATTACACCACTGTCTTTTCAATTATTTTTACAGAAACATGACTTCGACATTGGAGAAATACATCAATCGCAAAAAGGTTAAAAAATGAAAAATTAAAATTAAGATGTTTTAAAAATATTGACTTTAGAGTGGTAGCAAGATTAACATACTTAATCCAAAAGTTAAATAAAGATGATACAGGTCTTTTAATATCGGAATTGATTGACAATAATTTAATTGAATTTTAAAATTCTTTATCTTAAAAAGAAAAAAAAAAAAAATGAAAACAGAAAAAATATTTAAAATATTCTTTCTCTGTGATTTTGAAACTTTATTTTACTGCGTGAAAATGTCAACAACATTGACAAATGAACAACATATCGAGAGACAATATTGCGAACATTATTTGCACAAGAGACTCAGTTATTAACGTATCAGGAAGCAACGTTTCATTAATGTTGTATTTGTCGCTAATATCGAATTTTTCAGATTTATAAAAGTTGACTAACGAATCGAAGTTTTAATTCCTAGAATTCTCAAAGCTCGGCGCAGACTGGTGAAAAATAAACGCAACGAATGAACGTAAAGCGAGAGAACAATGCCGTTGCCACTTGATGCTCGAAACCGACGAACAATGAGTCATTATATCGACCAATAAAAGCTAAAAGTTCTATGATTATTGTTTTTCCCTCGATAAAAATGATCCCAATGGATTGCTGAAATTTACTCCAAAATAATGAAGTACCGGTGTACTTATGCACCTGCAAATTCGAATAAAAAGGAAACAGATCTTTCTGACCAAACGATTGAACCACATTATTATTTTGAAATTTCAAACTCAATTTTAACATTATAACTTGTAATGATGACAGTTTCAACTGCAAATCGATTATAACCATAATTGACTATAACTATAATGATTTCGCTTTTAATTCAAGAAGAATCTTAGGAAATTTTCGCAGCTGTGTATATTTATTAGAATTTTTGTCATTCACCGAAATACAATTATTATTCTAATGCAGAAGTGAGAGAAAATTATTCTTTGCTTTCACTTCATAAAAAAATTCGTCGTTCTAATCTAATACATTATGTGAAACTAATTATGAAAACTATGAGAACTACTCAAACAATCTGATTTCTTCTTACATTAAGCATAAGCTTCTAAACATTTCCGCGAATCCAAGTAATATTCTCTCCCAAAAGGAATTTCGTAAAAATTCTTAAATTAATTTCTATGGCGCGCGTGTTTAAAAATGCCGGAGCCCGCGGCATGAAATCGCGGACCTCGTTTTCTCATTTGCGATTACAATCGCAGGTGTTAGGTGTTTACGTGTGGTCTCACCCGAATAACGTATTAACGGAAATTATGCAAGCGGTATTGCAATCAACAAGCGTTTGCTTTAACACCGAGCGGGCTGGTAAGGGAACGGTTTAATGAGCTGCTTCAAATTACTAGAAAAATAGGGCACGATCCCCGTATTCAACAATTAGAAATCGCAATTCGCTCTTGGCAATTACTCGTAACTACCGCAGAGGAAATAGTTTGTTGTTAATAGGTAGAGATGCAATGAAATTTTTGGAAAGATACGTTATTACGATTAATCTTGTTGGTAAATTCTGATTATTTAAAGTTGGAATAATATTGATATTAGTTCAGGGCAATGGAATAGAGTATATAATTGGAAGAATGTGGAAATTTATAATTTTACTATATATATATAATGTTTAAAACTGAACGGAAACTAAATAATGTCATAACCACATAAATTAATAGAAGTATTTGTATTTTATTGTACCCTGTATCTAAAAGTTTGGAGCATATTTTTCAATTTCTACATGAATAGAAATATTTAAATTTTATTGTATTTTATCGTATCTTGCAACATATACATTCCAAAATCATGTTGTTAAAAATATTGGTATTTATCTATAATTTAAATTGTATTGATCCAAATGATATATTTATGTACCATTTAAAACGAGGAGTTTAAGTACCTGTCAATTCTGAATATAAAATCAATTGACGCTCCAAATATTCAGACATGAGTATAAATAGTATATAAATGTGAATGAATATATAAATGAAATATAATTCATACTATACATTAATTTACGTTAACTTACAACAAGTTAAGCATGTAAATGTTATTATTAACAATCAGTGTAAAATAATATCACATAGCAGAGTGGTATTTCTATGATAAAGCAACTAATAAACGAAAATTTTTCTTGTCTTTTCCTATTATTTATAGACTTCTAAAAATGAATAGTGACAATTATAATTTAATAATTGTTGCGCTAATTTATCTTCTATAAGATTTATGTTTTATCAGGTTTTATATTCAGTGACTATCTATAAGCAGAACGTTGTTACGCAATTAATTAGAATAATTGATAACTTATGTAAACAATAAAATGCAATACACCATTACGTATTTAATTATATTATATATATGCGAACATAATATAGAATATAATATATTCTAAATAAACATAACAGTAATAATGATTATTATACATTTCATTACAGATGAAATTAAATAAATAAAAATCTGTAATATAATAAGACATAAGAAATAATATAAAATTATCATCATAAAAGTACTTTGGTACGCAGATATTATTAATAGCAACCACTTCTTTCTTGCTCTTTTCGTAGGTTCCACAGTATTTTTACAAAACAAATACATTGCAGTATGAAAATTACAAATTTTTCACTGTATAAAAGTTTCCATATTCTACACAGGTTATATGGAGTCCTTTTCCCCAGACATTGTAATACCCTAGGGATGGAAGATGAAAGGAAGGAAGGAAAGAAGATAATATCTTCTTTTTATATAATACATCTTTCGCGGCATCTAAAATATCTAGAAATTCTATAACTAAAATGTTGGTTAAAGACATTAATATTATAGTCCACGTATTTCTGCCGGATAATCCTCATTTAAAAAAAAAATAAGAATTTTAAATATTCTACAGGTATTAATTTATCAATCAATTAAAAATTGCATAGATTCTGGGAAAATGATTATGTTTCTTGTATTTGTTTCTCGCTAACTGTAAATAAATTGAAACAAAAACAATCACAAAATCTACACTGTACATTAAAATGAACAAAATATCCTATTATTATTACATATTTACTTTACTATACATACCATAATTTCATTCTTTTGATCGAATTTCTGAACTTTCAACTTCTGACTGAGAAAGTCTTTTTATGAACAACAATTTTGAAAATATTCCAGTGGATCGATTTAAATGGCCTCACTTGTAAGAAATAGATTATTATTTCAGTTATTAAATATATAAAATGGTACTAAATGGCGAAAACTGAAATGTGTAATCTGTTACGGAAGTTATTAACTAAATAGAACATAACATATATTTCCAGATATAGTAAAACTTATAGAGGACAGACTTGTACAGTTTAAATAATTGCAATCACTAATTTTTCGTTTGTATAAGTGTTCAGGTTTAAATAAATGGATTCAACCAGCAAAAGTTTATTTAATTGGACACTGACTAAAATTTGGTTCAATGGTAAATAAACGGAGTTTTACTGTATTTTAATTTCTCAAATTTGGAAAACATCTCACTTGTACATCATGATATTGAAAAGACGGAGCATTATGCAACTTACTGTGCCTCAAAGAGTTAAAAGAAAACGGTTGTTTTAAATGTTTGAATGGCGGAACCTACAAGTTACGAGAAATCCCAGAGGTGCTTTTTTCATTCCTGCGAGACGCTAATTTTAATTTCTCGTTGTAGCCACTTCACGAATGGCTATAACCAGTTGCTCCGTATTATGATAACCCATTGTTTACACTTTCCATCTATTTGTCTGTACACATCGAGTTCCGACGCAAATTCTCCTGGCTCTCTCCCTGTAGTCTTATTTTGCCAAATGTAAGATATGACTATTATTATTGCTTTATCATCGCAATAATAACGAGTATCGTTTCGACGGTTCTTTGAAGTGTTTTTCACTGTTAGGCAGAAACATCAGACCCCACTATCTGAGAGGCAAAGGGTGAAAAGTTGAGGGATACTTCTGATTCGAGTTACACTTTGAATGTGACGAGTGAACAGCTATCGTTGAGAGATCGAAAGTTGCTTCATGGCTGACAAAGTTTTTTGTTTGTCAAGCACCTTTATTCCAGAATGGTTTGAAGTGCGTTTCAAGAATAATATAAATGTCGAAAGAAGAAGTTTTTTTTTCCTTGCTTTCAGAAAGGAGAAGCAAGAAAGTGATATTCGTCTTTGTAAAGAGATATAGCTCTTCGTATCTCTTCGAATGGAATGGTTTCGAACAAATATGTCGAGAAAGTATCACGTTTAGCATACTTCTGTGTATTTTCTCTAGTATCTTTTATTCCTGATCTATACGTTTCAATTTTTCTGAACAAAATATTCATCGTACTACTTAATTGCGGGAAAAACGTATTTATAATTAAATGATGTCAGTTTATAATTGACAAAAATAATGAACAAGAAATGATATAACAATAAATAATGAAGGAATATAACATATTTGTTATAAAATGTATTCTTGCATGATAATATGATATTTATAATTGCAAAAATTTGTGAAATAATATAATATTGATACAGTGGTATTTGAATTATTTTAAATTAATCTTCAATTATGATATCGACCATTTTATATGCAATAATCTAATATTCATGCAATTATAGATACAACATTACTATCAATTTATTATTTAATAATTTTTATATACATTCATATTTATGAATCACTGATATATCATACTACACGAATTTATTAAAATTGTCAATTTTTAATCCCCATATTAAAGAAATAAACTCCACAATCTTTTATAATCTATTATTCAGGGACAAACAATTAAAGAGAAAAAGAACTCTACTCTTCGATAGACGCGCAATATTACAAAACCAGGATTCGACAAATTTTATTTGAAATAAAAATGAAATGTAACAATTTAAAATAACGTATCATTTCAACTGATTCGCTTGTTGAAAAGCAACACTATCTTGGATCTCAATCAAATAAATTATTTCCAAATAATCTTGCGTTTGAAATCGAATTCATTTGAAATAAAGTAGTAAATAATCCCAATGGAAAGTGAAATTTATACAATAGAATTTTCCAAATTGTTAGTAGAAATAGAAAC